CTACCCCCCAAAAAAAAACTTCTTGGGAGCGGGGGAAAAGGGAGGAAATTGCTCATCTGAAGGAACTCAGCAGCAAAGCTCAGCCATAAAGGAGAGCGGAGAGCAGCTCCCTCCGGCTCCCCAGCCAGCGCCGCAGCACTGCTGGCCAAAGGCATCTGTGACATCTCCAGTTAAGCAGGGACTGGGGCAGCCAGGGCCTGAAATGCTTGTTTTTAGCCGACAGGCGGCTGTGCTGGATTAGCACGGTGCATGCTCGGAATAGAAATCTCTCCCTTTCTCTCTCTCTCAAGCCTTCGGGGAGTTTCTTTAGTTGGCTTGTTTCCCTCCGAGAAAGCTGCCTTGCCCCTCCAGGTCTCCCAAAGATGCCTCCTCCTCTCCTTGTCCTCCAGCATTCACAGCTGCATTGACAGCCGGAAAGCAGAGCGCCCCAGCGAGGACGGCGGCGGTTTCGGCAAAGGGAGCAGCAAAGCAGCAGGGCCTGCTGCTGGGAGCCCCACGGGGTGATGCAGCCCTGACCTGGGGCGGTGGGGGAGGACAGGGGGCATTCGCCCTCCCTGTGCTGTGATTGCAAAACCTGGGCAAAGCAGGAGACAAGGCACAATCCCTCCTCAAGGGTAAGGAAGCTCCTCACAAGGGAAAAAGTACCAGAAAGCACAATGGACAAAATTAAACCCAATTGCACTGTGGCAGTGGTGCATAAGCCAAATTCCAGCTTTGCAGGAATGGGGAACTGGGCTCGATTTTCGTCTGCTTACTCCTCTGTGGAGAGGTCCATGCATCCCCAGACCCTCATTTAACAAGAGTGAAAAATCCAGCCTTAAAAATATAGCAAAGAGAGAGCTGATGGCTTTCTCCCTCTCACCATGTCCCCATCTCCTTCCAGGGAGACCTGGGGATCAGATCACAACTGAAACAGGACACATGAGGAGCACAGGCATGCAATTGCCTGTAGTAACCAGCGGCCAAATGCGGTGACCCAGCTGGTCTCTTCGGTTCTGCAAACCTGTGAAGTGAATAAGAGCCAAGAGCTTCGTCACAATGTACAGGAATCTGTGAAACTCACAGCTGCAGAGTGCCTCTGTAGGCACCAAAGTCCATTAGCAAATGCTCTCAGCACAGTGGATCTCTTAAAAAATGAATCTGGGAACACGTATACCATTCTTTCCCCTTCCCCCCTCATCCCCTAACAACATAACTCAGATATGTAATCCCTGGGGGGAACGGTCTGTCTCATACCAGTCTTCCTCAAAGCAACCAGTCTGGACCAGGCTGCAGGTCACCTTCCCGCTTGGCCCATTCCCGTGGTGCAGAAGGGCAGCCCTCAAGTCCCAAGCACAAAGGGAGTATCAAAGGCAAAGTTATGCTAGTATTCCTTGACACTGAGCGCATTAGGATCAGGTTTACGCCTGGTGCAAATACTGCTGAAGTTGAGGAAACTGAACCCACACGGCCCAGCCATAACTTTGTCCTTGAGTACACAGAGACGTCTCCTTGCTCAGTGTTTCATCATACTGGCCTCACCAGTACTATAGAACTTACTATACTGGTGAAAGTGGGGCAATGCAGGGAGAGGATAGTCAAGGGCCGTCTCTCAGGAAAATCCTCCTCCATCAGTGAATTGTTTCCCAAAGAACGTGTCATCGGGACATCCTCAAACTGCTCTTGCTACATACTGGAGTAGCAGCCCCATGCAAGGGGATGGAGAAGTTGAATTAAAAGGGATTTTTTTCCCCTCACCAGTCTCTCCAGGTCCCAAAGGTGCCTCTGAAGAGCCCACAGCATTAGGACATGCTGAGATTTAAGCGTACGTTTATGCTGGCACAAGGGTGCCATCAGGCCTTCCCGTCTCAGCGTCATAGGAAGGAGAAGCAAATGAGACCATCAGAAGCCGAGGCCGCACGGCACAACAGCTTCTGGGACACATCATCCCCACATCCCCACAGCAGTAGTAATAAAGGCAACCCACTCATTACACTTCTCGGGAAGATGCTGGGTGGATTTTATGATAAATACTGGCTTTGTTGTGCAACAGCACGATCTTTCTCCCCTCTGCTAGACTCCACTGCCTTTCCTCATGGTCTGCTTTCTGCCTGGGCCTTGCAGATGGAGATGCAAGAATGGGATCCAGCTGCAGTTTTCTGCTTCTCTCCAACAAAGAAAGGCAACAAATTCAAAACAGATAAGCAATCCCTCTACCACACTCTGAATTTAGACCTTGGAGCTTATTGCACAAAAAAGGCCTCTTGTTTTCAGAGGTAAAGATCAAAAAGTGATGGGACATCTCTATGGTTAAATGCAGTACCCCTGGGAATCTGCAAAGAGCTTTGAGGAGAAGTAATAAACCGCACACTTCAGGCGATTAAGCCAGTCTCAGACTATAAAGTGCACAGTGGAGATACGAAATTGCGAGCAAAGTGTCCTCCATCTGTCCAATTGTTTCACCTTCTTTTGAGGTGCCTAATACTAATGGAAATAGTCTGTCTGGGCTGGTGGCTGTTCGGAGCTGATTTTGATTTCCTTCCATCTCCCATGTTGCAAGGGAGGTTTCTGGTCCCACTGGGTTAGCATAGCTACCATTAAAATCTGCAAGAAATTTAATTTCGTCTGTGAGAAACTCAGCCTGGCTTGCTGGAAGAGTTGCCTCGTGCCCAACCAGGGACAGGCTCTGTGGGCACGGGTTGAAACCCAGCTGCCAGGTGGGACCAGGGACTTTGCCAGTGGCAGCCCCAGCCACCAGTGGCGTAATTGGCATGGCAAGGAAGAAAGGCAATGTCTGGAGTTCCCAGGGACCTGTTTAAAGAAGATTACTCCAAAGTTTGTAAGT